TGAAAAAGAAAAACGGGCGATTCACACATACACTTGCCTGCATTGAAGCGAAGTTTCGTGGGCAACTACTTACTTGATCGTTTTCTCATTAATCCCATATTTAGATTCATTGTTTGCTTATTTCTTGCCTGTCATCTGCCTTCTAAACGACCTTCGTTCTCGTCGCCATCTGCTCGTATTCCAATTCGGCCTGTGTATCCCGTGGGTGGGCGTAAAGTCGTACCACGCACGCCGTCATCATTCTTGTGTTCTTCATTTCCTTTATTTTCCTCTTCTTTCTTGCTACACTAACTGTAGATAGATGGCTGGACATTCGGCAAGCTTAGGTAATACATCTTTGGATCCTACGCAGCCACACGCTTCTTCGAGTTTTTCTACTAGCTTTGTTCACGAACGTTTCACTTCCATTTTTCCGCTCTATTCCGAGTGACGATATTTGTTTGCTGGAAAAAAGTGAAACACGTGTCAACGAACACAGCAGCTTATCGGATGAAAAGCTTAATCCCACAGAAGCGCTACCCTTTCACTAATCCTGTAGCAGCGTTGACGAAGGAGGTTTTGACCTTTCACCGGCATATTTCCATTTAGATTCTTTCGTATCTATGCCACCCTATCTCGGATCTTAAAACGTTAAAAGGAGCGGACGAACACGGACTTGTTTAGGGATAGGCCACAACCATAGTTCAGTCTGGTCAAGGAAGAAAGAGGCTAGCACGACTAAACGCTGCGAAGGTATTAGAAATTATTGGACTTTCCTATAGCATGTGCTGGGGGCATCATGTCCGCCTGGTGTAATCTCAAAATGAGTTGGCGTTCGCAGGACGCCGCTACGACGACAATAAGCCAACTACAAGAGCGACTTCATTTCTTTTGGTCTACAATTGCTATTACTGCTCCTATCGCTAAAGCGACTGGGGGTAACGAAACATGTTTTTTTATCTCATGTGTGCTGATTTGAGTAAGAATAAGTGAGACCGGGAAATGTGGTCGAGTAAGACCAGATTGGATCAGATCCATTCTCAAGGAGACGATTCTGACCGCTGCAAATGTTTCCAATGTATCATCGGTCGAACCGTAGCGGAAAAACTGAAGAGAGGGTACATGCGTGCGAGCCAATTGAACTAAAAGTGGCAAACGTTGGCAATTATAAAACCAATCATTATATGCCTTTCAGCTATATTTATATGGTTCTAAGAAGCCATATCGGCCGCACCCACTGCAACACTGACCATCTTTTGCCATTAGACGAGCGAACAGTAAACGCTCACTTTGTTGTAGACAAGTGTGAATCTATACAGAAAGCTAGTATCGAACTAATGTTTGCTTTTTCGTAAAAGCTCGCACCATTCCGGCTTTCTTTTCTTTCACGGAAAAAGAGGGCCCCTCTCGTCTCGGGTTTAGCGTGCCGTTTTGTCCGTTTGCTCGCCTTCGCAGACGCCTCAAGAAAATTGGCCTGCCCGAACGAGGGACCGCAGCGCTTCGCTATTCCCAAGAAAAACATATGACCCTTTCATTGGTCGAAGCGGTCGTTTCGTTGGGCCGGAACTGTAAAATCAAATTTTCCAACAACTGCCGATATAAAATGTAAACAAGAAAGACAGCATAGGAAGACTGCCTCTGCTATAGGGTACGATCATGAGCGAAGTGAAGCCGAACCTTTATAGTTATTTCTTCGTCCTAAAATACTGGTAAAACTACAATAGTACTGCATCGTATTTCTTCACTTTGACCCTTAACCATTACTCTCTCGGTCAGCTTTGATTCTTTACAATGGCATATATATATATATATATATATATATATATATATATATTGCTCGTTTTACGATCGTCACCCGTTTAATCTTTTAAGCCTTCCATGCGTGTGCGCCGTCCGTCTATTGCATTACTAAGCAGATGCCACACAACGGACTAAACTGGCTTATACTTCTCTGACTCGCGATATCCATCAGAAAAAAAAAATAAATTTAGCTTCAAGGAATGAATTTTCCTGTTTTCTTGAATACAGGTGATTCTATTTATTAAAGATATATTTAGGCGTGACAAGAAAATAATTCTATTTAGTATTGTAGAACAAATGTGGCCTTCAGGCGCAACTATTCTATTAAACATAACGACTTGGGACAGGGGCATAAGGTGTGGAATTATGTTTCCGTGCGCTCTTCTATCCCAGTATTTGCTAAACCCATTTCAAATGACAAAATTAGTTGATATACCGTAATATACGGTAGAAGCTAGTCTGACAAAGTGCTTAGCGGCCGTGTTCCTGAAAACAGAGTTTTCGAGAACTTCGAAAATCACAATTAACGACATTTGCAACAGTGTTACTATGGCTTACATTGATCCAGTTTTGTGGCTTTTAATTCAATAGTATATATATATATATGTCATGTTTTCAGTATAATGGAAATTGCCAAATAGTAGAATATCTGATCAAACTAGTTATTTAGGACTAACGTAAAACCGCACTCCGATTGAACTTTGTTTCGTTTCATGTCGAAAGTCATACAATTGTTTGGTACGCACCAACGTCTTTCGAGGCGTACTTTACGAATCAACATGGCTAGACAAGTGCTGGCATACAGACTGATAGATAAACATTTTCGTAGGCTTTCTATTGATCTATAGGATCGATTGTGTTTTTCATGCATATTCAAGGTTTTTCAGCGATGCGGACTGCGATACCTTTGTTGACGATTATAGTGGACTAGCGAAAAGACCCATTTAGATTTCTTGTCCCAATTTGTCGATATGCCTAAAGGAAACTGACCAGAACAGGTTAATGACGTCCGTTCGAAATAGGATTTCGATGAAATCGCTGCAATTCCTGTTCGGCGTTCTTTCTTTAAACGCCAGCGCAAGAAAGATTCACAAGATCATTGATCATTTATTCAGTCATGTCCGATATTTTCGCAAAGACTCTGTCTTCATTTAAATCGTTTGTTCTACGTTGGAGTTCTACGTCTACGGTGTATATTCCTTAAGTATGTTTCTTCTCTAAACAATACGACGAGCGATCGCAACTACCCCATTTGATGTTGTCACCTGTTGTAAGACAGTGCACACTTCAATCAATGTCCAACATTTGTTCATATTATGTTGCCTAAGAGAAGACCACTGTTCATCGATTACGAGGCCATAGCTCAATTTCCCTGTCTTCATTGAACTTTAAATTTCTTGACGACGCAGTAATCGATTTTGTGCTAAATTCGAAGCTCTTCGAGTTACAGGCCTGAAAACACCCACTGGAACAACAAAGGCCGCTACTGCAATCTTTGAATAATAATCACCATCAACATCACAATAATGATAAGAGTATTTTTTAAAAACTGACTTGATAACATTGTTTTGCCCCTCGACCAGCGGTCAATCTACATAGTGACAATGGCAGCACATAGATTTGCGTGTGGAACTTGTATGTTCAGAGACTAAAGTACACCCCTTTGATACACCCTCCGTTGCTCGGCTTTGGTAGTCGTAATTATTTTATGTCTGTTTTTATAATCTTTGTAAAGTGTGAACGGGATTTCACCGTTTCCAAAGGCGGCTAACGAGTAGCATAACAGCCGGCCTTTGGCATCGCCAGAGGTAGCGCCGCACAAGTCCGCGGCAGCGGGGCTATGCAAGTGGACCTCCCGTCGTCACGAACATCATGTTTCCGGAGTGGTACATGTAGCGATTGCTGGTGTTCGCCCGCTACAAGTTGGCACACGCCTTGGCTGTGCACGCACGCACGCACGCACGTGCTCTAGCAAAATCGCTTTCTCCAAAAAATTACATGCTATCAGGCGCCGGACAATTTTCTTTGCACTTAGATGACTCTCATGACACTTAGGAAAGGCCCAAGCCTCGGCCGCGTGAAGAAGCGCGGGTCGTAATTGCTTTGCGCTGGAACGATGGAGGGTGCCTTGCCTGAGTAAGGAACCGCTTTCCAATTTTCTCACAGTGTATTGATTAGAGGTACAAACCGACCGTTTGGCATTTGGTGTGTCATGAGATCGGCGTTGTTTTAGAGCGTCGTGGTAATCGAGCAGTTGGATTGGCCAGTGATTTTAGCTACACTCCCGTCGTCGATTTGATAATGCAGAACCAGCACAATTCGCCTCGGACGCTCCCACCAGCAAATGCTATATTCTTTTCACATACTATCTTCTAATATCCGAAAAAAACTCAGGAGGTTGCCTTCGCTGTGGTGAAAAAAATAGAGAAGAATTCTTCGAATGCTAACAAAGATCACACTAAACCCAAAGTTAGACACCCAGATCATTTACCAAAAAACAGCGTGACACTTATAGATTCCTTGGACGCCTCTCTTGCCTTGTGTGTTTCACGTAAGCAGCCAGAGTAAAGTCGGCCTTCTCCGAGAGAAAGCACTCGTACATCTTCTCTTTCCCATGTCTTTCCTGCAGTGATCTTCTGATCGAATCAAACGTTCGCTACTCTTTGTAAATGTATATGCGCTCGCTTTGCGGCTTGGATTAATAGCTCGTACTCCTCAGGACATTCCTTAGGATCCTTTTCGTCAAAGTTCACCGAAGACGACCTCCAATGAGCCAGCCGTTCAGCGAAGTCCTTTGATATTTCAATTATTCCGCCAGTCATTGCACCCCTGCCACCAAAATGAAGCGGTCTTTTTTGTTTGCTGGTTTGTTTGACCACGCCACAACCACTCGCTCCGCTTTTATAGATATTTATATAAACCTACATAACCGTAGGACATTGCTTACTAATTTAAAGACACAGCTTATAATTCCAGCGCTTAACAACTTAAGTAGAGGTAACAAATCATCTTCGTTTTTATTTACATAAAATTAATTGGACGATTTCAACTATCAAGACTTTCAGCCTAAGTAACGACTGTCCAACGTTCAACAACAACAACAACAACAACAAATTGTAAAGTTATTTTACTCAATATTGTCGAACATTTTCGTATTGCAAGCTATATAATTAGTGCTCTAATTTAAACAATAAATATTTTTTGCATCTTTGCATAGGTTTACCTTTCGATGTCATTGCCACGCGAGCTACTTTAAAAACCCGGCGACGTCATGCACAACCTGGCTGCTGGATTCAGCACGTAAAACGGTAAGCGTTCCGTTCAATAAAATTAATTCAGCTTCTTTGCAAACGTATATGTAACAACTTCTGTGTCTATTTGTACTACTGTCTACTTTTTCGAAGCTTTCGAGCTTCAAAGCTCAAAGACCACAACTTGAGACCAACTTTCATATCTTTCCAAACCGTCGGGCGTCGGCGTTCCGCACCATTAGTGCAGTTGCACTACTTTTTACGTGCCAAAACATAGTATACGCTAAGCGTTTTGGTGCTCGCCTATCTAGCGGCATCGCGTCGCCCTCAGGCTAGCTCAAGTAGTTCGGGATCATAATGATCGAGAATGCAAACGGCCCATTGCGACCCTGATCCCACTTCTGTTGCCATCGGTGCTACTCATCGTTGCCTCATTGTTTAGCCAAAGTGTCTTGGGCCAAATCCCAACGAAGTAAACCTTGTTATTCCAAAGCACCTCGAAGAAGAAGCTGAAGGGAGCCAAGCAACTGATCTAATAATGGTGTTGAACTTGTTTCGTCTTCCCGAACAAGTGCTAAGCGTTGAAAGTTGCAACTTGACAAAGCCAAAGCAGTTGGGGTCCCCTACCGAGTCCTCTAACGCGTTCGCCTTGCGTTACCCAGCCACGAAATCTTGACGCCTCCGAGCGTTAAATGAAAAAATGAAGGAGGATTTTAGATGAGGGCAACAATGACGACAGCGTTGGTGGCGATAAGAAGCGATAGCAAAAGAAAGACGCTGACGAAACCGGGCAGTGGATGGACGAACAGGCTTGAACAAAATTTGCATGATGGTATTCACCCCTCAGCGTTGTTGCAGTAGCAGCTCGAAGGTTTACAGCGAGCGAGATTGAGAGAGCGGGACAGAGCTGTCGTAATGGAATCGCTGAGGGGACCGGAACGGACATTCCGTAAGAGAATGCCCCCGTTATCCAAAAACAGGACGGACATAAATAAGCTAATTAGATCTTCGGTATGGATAGATAAGGAGCCCAGAATGTTGATGACAAACGACTTACTTTGGAGCTACGATTGTTAGATTTGTGTAAAGTTAGAATAGCTCCTCATTCAGGATCGAGAAGTTGGACCTGAGAATACGTAGTAGCAGATGACCTGCAGGTCAATTTACGTTTGTCTGATTTTATATACTGGCGTTAATTGTTGCTCAACAACTGTTTTGCAGGCTAACGAAATCTAATTCAGCTTTCATCTCCTGTGAATAGTTCATGTTGAGGTTGCCTTTAAATAAACTTCTTTCGGTTCGAAGCCATTGACATTATTACAAAAATATAACTGATTAAATCTACAAAGCGACCAGCACCAATTGGCGGAAAAGCCTAACACAGCTCATGGATCTGATTTAATTATTCACGCATCTCTACTACGTAAGTGCTTTAACATCAGATCGGGATTAAGCCTACTTTTCTAAAATAATATACCTCAGCTTAACTTTGTGGTCACGTTAGGCAAAAAAAAAATCTATTCGATCGGGAGTAACCAGCCAACGCCTTTGCTCACAGTTGAAACACCCGAATGGACGGATCTATTTTTATTTATTCCCAGGTGTGGCGCGTGTATTTTAACCGTATCATCTCGGATCGATATTCATCGCGCTAAAAGCGTCTTGTATAATCAGTACCTGCAGGGCTTAGAATTATTAGTAAAGTAGCGGCATCTATAATCATGGTTGAGATCTATGTAAAGGAAACCGGTGGCCTGTTAGATGTTGATATCATTAGTTTGAATAGATATCAGCTTTACTAAAGTACTTGTAAACTCAGTAAATTTTCGTGATGAGAGTCTTATAGTGAATTTTTGGATAGTATTATTTTCTACGACTGATGAAGTACGGAGTCTACAAGCATAACCTTTTTTTTTTTTTCTCTATTTACTAAGCCGTATTTGATCATAGATAGTATTTAATCAATTCTGGGCATACTGAGTTTAAAAATGGGTCGAGCAGGCATCGCGTTGAGTAACGCATCAAAGTCTATGGCACCCAAAAGGTGATTGAGTTGATGACAAAAAATATCGCAAAATTTACACTTACACCAACTATTATATGAGTATGGCACAATGAAAAAAACAATTCGGTGCTGCTTACGATATCCGATATTGCTGATGGTGTTTGAGCAAAACTTTTTATGGAGACAATGTGGATGCAGTAAAACGGACGAGCGAATTCGGCGTGCCGTCGCCGCTCATGAAGACCTAAAACACACTTCCGCGCTTCGAATATCATTCAGGTCGTCCTTTGATGGCATTGCGCCTCTCTGAGATACACTTAATCACACGGAATCAGTTCCATGCTTCACTCACTTCAGCGAAGCCATGCAGTTAACGTTTATGGACCCTGAAGAGCACAAGTCGACCAAGACTTGCTTGCGGACACCGGAAATCAACGGCAATCAATGGCAAGGATTTGAAAAAAAAAATGATTAGAGGAACTAAAGTACAGTCTAAAATTAATTTTACCAAGCACAAACTGTCGCATGGAGATAGATAGCGCGTTGGAAACATTAACAATCCCCACGAAAGTTCACCGCATTCAGGATTAGTCCCATGAAAATTCATATACCAGATACTCTATACTATACATTACCTATCTATCTGTTTTCAAGTTGGTAGCTAGTTTGAGAACAACGAATGATTTTGAAACGAAGTCAAAATTAAAACTGGCTCGCTGACTAAGATTTCATTGCAGATGCGACCTTTTCCTGCACCGTTACACGAAACACGGCTTCAAAGCATTTAAACAGCTGTACAGCGCATGTAGCGTGCTAAATTCGCGGATCTTCAATGGCAGTTAGGAGATCAGACTCTCTACACGAGCACAAAAAATGCCGAGTCTGAGCCGGCTCAGAAAGGTACACTTTCGCAACAAGTGCAAAAAGTTATACATCTAATATATGAAATGGTTTAGTTTCAAATCAAATAAAGCAACCTTCCGGTAACCTTTAACAAATACATTTTTATTTTATTTCGTTGTTTCTGTTTCTGCTGATGTCTGCTGTGTTTCTGTCTCGTAGTAATAATAATCTGGACCTAATCGCTCGAGCACACGCACCTCCACGCGTCTGCTTGGCGTTGGACGCCTAACTGACTTCTACTGGGGAGAATAACGAGGCGCGTCGCTGCCCTGAACCCCTTCGGGGAAATATTAATACTACGAAAGTATGCGAGCGACGTTATTTATGTTCAATTATTGCTAATAGGCCACGGACAGGACACCTTTTACTTAATCATTTCATATAGTGTTAAGCTAACAGCTAACCAACCCGATAATATTATAGTATAGCAATTAAGAAACGCCGACACAAATCGTACCATGACTGTAAATATCTGTGGAACCTGATGGGGTCACGCCCCCGTTGGCCCAGTGACATACACTTGTTAATGTTGAAAAGTTCGCTGCAGCACCGCCTTATTTCCAGCAAAGCTTGCCATCGAAACAGATATTTCATTTTTATAATTCAGTTCCGTTATTGCCTTTTCAGTGGACCGCGGGCTACGTTTTGGCAATGGAAAGCTGTACTTACGTGACAACTATCATCCATGGATTATTTATGTGCATGTGAAACTAAAAAAGAATCGAATGGTTCGCGGCGTCCCGTTGTCTGAACAGAAAGCGTAAGCTGGTGTTGTTTATTTTCGTTGAAGTTACGCTCTGTTCCTCAGTTGGAGGATTTCCACCAGGTTCTCCCAGTAGCTCAAACCGGTAAAACGAATCCCATTCGATTTACGGCTTCTTGCCCCGTAACGATTTGTCGGCAGTATTTTGCAAGCGTTAGTGAAGTGCAAATGATCAGGAATCTAAGCTGCAAACCACCTGAGGCCAAATTCTCATCAGTTTTTAACGTGGTCGGATCTTTTCTGTTCTTGCAGTTGTATCTCTAGATTAGCGTAAATGGAGAACTTTTTCATTAGTGCACTAAACTGTTACCTTCTGTGAACGGGGGCTGACAATCTTAAAATTCTTAGCTGAACCATGTGCCCTTTTCGCAGTCGTTTAAACGGAGTCCCTCTCACTAGGCAGCTATGCTACTATTAATTGTGGCGCTGTCTGATTGATTTAGAGTGGCATACAACTCCGAAAATTAAGACTACTAGGAGCCGGCTTTAATATGACCGCATTAGAAAGCGAGACTATGGCCCAGCGATGGTGCATACAACGGGGCACAGTTGCAGGACGTTAGACGTCATCATATAGCCTTAAATTTTGTATCTAATTAGTACAATTATGTAACAGTTTGGTAGAGTAAAGCCATCATTTGGAAATAAGCAGTCCTACGGTTAACAGGAAGAATAGAAGATTTTCTATTAAGAAAAAGTCGGTCTTCAATTGAAGCAGCCAAAAATTCGATGCATTTAAAAAAATCTCCATATTTTATCTGAAGGATATCCCGAGGTGGCGAATGCAATCTAAAGTATGTTCGGATAGTTAACCGTGTTTCCCCCAGCGTCAACGGAATAGAGCTGGTATCAACTGAAAGTCTGCTCATACCGGTAGAACTTTATGGGGAGACACGGTCTCTCCGAATCTCTCGTTTACTATGTATTTGTTATATAAGCTTATAAGCAACGAAACCCTGCCCTATGCATGGACACGACCCGGGTGGACAGCAAACAAAACAAGAGCGACAGTTTCTAGCCTGCACAAATATTAGGCAAACCTAGAAAATAGCAAAAACTTTAATCGACTCTTTGGAAAAAAAACTTTGATATACGCTGCTTTGAATTCTAATTGACAATTACTTTAGAAAATGTTGTCTGATACCAAGAAGACTGAACAAATATAAATCTTAATTATTTTTCAATGGATTCCTATAGTATGTATCAGAATTTTGTGATCTACTTATGATTTCGTGTTTTAGGTTGTTGATGAAGTCTAACAGACGAAGTAAAATCGTCTTCCATTCGCACTTTGTTTTTATATATATATATATATATATATATATATAATAATAATGTTAAACTATCACTTCCTTTTGTTTTTCTCGTACTAAACTGTAGCGGCTTTTTTTTTTAGCTTTCACATTACCTCTTGCCCTGACAAGGGGACCTTTATCGTCCAATTCATACTCAGGTTAGTTAACCTTAGGGTACAAACAACCGATCTGAATAGGCTTTTAGCTGTTCTCAACTTAAAATTCCGTTGTTTAATTTTATCTCCCTCGGAAGACTTTAGACATACGCGAATTTAATCTAGCTACGTTGTTCAAATAAATGTTGCTGGGCTCTACTGTTACACAGTCTAGAGAGTACTTAAAAGTTAAAATGTCGCATATTATTTCTAATCTAGTCAACTAATTCCTGCACGCAGTTAGTAGGCTTAATGTTGTTATTGGTTTGACAAAAGCATCGAGTCTCTTAAGTTGAACTATCTACGGTCGAGTACACCGTTAAGAACTTTACCCTTGAGCCAAACTCGTTTTTTTATTAAATTATTATTAAAAAGTTTATTGAGAATTCGCTAGGCGACGCCAACATACATCGTCCAAGCAAAAAAGTTACATCACATCAAATCAAACTAGTAAAGTCAATTAACGCAGTAAACACGTACGTTTAGTTCAATACTTAGTATTACTCATATAGCTTATGGAGAACCCTATACGCTAATAGTTCGTAACAAATGTCACGGCGGCAGAATGGATAGAACAATAAACACATAGCCGTGAGCTCTTAATTTCCTTCGCCAGCTTTATTTTTTACAAATTATTTATAATGCTATACAATCATCACTTTACCCATATGGGAATATCGCGCAGTTCTCTGACCACCATCATATACATTACGTCTGTACTATTGCGCACGCTGAAAATGGTTTCCGCCGCGTCATAGGTATTTGGCAAGCCTTTGGTAGGAGGAGTAATGTGAGAGAAGGTTTACTATTCTGATCTTGTCCATAATATTCACGTACTAGCATCAATCACGTATAACTTTTGATCACATTTATAGATCACGTTTAATCTGAAGCGATATAGATCAGATATAGGGCTCAGCATATGCTCTTTTTATCAAGTTTGCTAGTAAAGACCTGCTCTAATACGTACAAACGCTACTTTGTTGTCTGCTACTTCCAGCCTCGAACTGTACGGCAGAAGAAATTGTCGTAGTGTGTCAGGCTTATCTGTGGGTAGACTTGTCTAATCAAAACGTGCGTTTGAAAAAAAAGCAAGCCAACGATCAGTGGGCATTGTTGACATATATTTTGAAGATATATTGTACCATCTACGATCAGACCAACGCTGCAAGTTTTGATTTTTAACTTTGCCCTCTTTCAACTCTAATTAAAAAAGCGAGAATCATAATCTATAAGTTCTATATTAATCAGCCAAAGTGTTTAAATAGGCAATTGAATTGCGTCGTGAGATCAGCTTAAGGTTTGTGATTTCGTATTTCTACTTTAAGAGTTAGTGATTCAGCCGATAGTTGGCCGGCCTCAATTATTAGGTACGCAATACGAATATCTGCGCAATACGCCGCTCAGATGCCGATAAACAAGGCGGAACATTTGCGAAGATCGCCACTATGAAGCTACGTCAGTGTCAGCAGAAGTCAGGGAATAAATAAAACAATATTTCATCCAAGCCCTCTAAATTCCATAAACACATAAAGATAAACACAGACCTGCCTCGTTTTTCGCTGAGTGTTCTGAGAAGAATCGATGCACGGCAAGGCATAACTGGCCGAAGGTGGGGCCGTGAGAGAAACACAATGCCTTCGTGTATTAAGCACCGATCAGTTTTTCGAGTTACCATAGAAAAAGGTGAAAAAGGCTGATAGCACCTGCCGCGCTATCTTTATTTCGTCAGGTTGGCAGATCCTTGTCAGATCTGTGTTCTGGCCAACTGGAAGTAAATTCAGCCTATATTAAAGACTGCATTTTTAAATGAATAGCAATTTCAGTATTAAGCCTCATTTGAGTCGTCGCTTTTGAGTCTCTTAATCTTTCAGAACATGGTATTGTCACTTATCCTTTGCGCCATCTTCATAGCTGCAGGGTTTGAACAACGGCCATCAAAGCTTATATAGGCGACGCCATATATGTTTCCACTCTTGGTCTTCAGTATCGAAAAATGGAAAAATCCAGTTTAACCTCATCATATGCTTGAGTCTTACCAAAAGAAGGGTCCGTACGTAACTGCTCTGTGTGAGTGTAACCGGTAAATAAATTAAAAATATTATAACATTGTATGTATGCATATGAGGCCACCCTCAATATGCGTCTAAAAGCTTTTTATTTACGAGCTGTGCCAGTTTCACGAATCCGAAGGATCCAACGTTTACCAATTGCACGCCCATACCCAGATCTTTTTCGAAATATTAAACACACTTTACATTATTATTATTAAGGATGGTGGATTCATTTCGATCCGAGTTACAAACGAAATTTATAACGTGAGCACATCGACGGTATTGGATCGGTCCTAGGCTTACTACACTCGGAATGGATTGGAACTTTGACTAACTTAAATATCCCCATTTATAAAGCTCCAGACCAGTCAGAAAGTAATCATTTCGTTTTATTTTTTTTTAGATTACAAACGCGCATGTTTGAAATTAGGTGTATTATGGTACTCTAGTTATCAGTTGAGTTCTACATTCACATATATTTTTACTATAATAACTATATCGATTTTTTTGTGATAATTAATTTAGGCAGCTCAAATGAAAGATTCTACCGGACTAGCACGTATAGTAAGTAAGTAGTCCTGTTCGTTTCTATCTTATGCTCTTGGGGCCTCCTGACATTGGCCCTCTTGGACATCGCAAATTTTCATAAGCATAACGGAACGGTAGTGATCATAGAGAAGAAGTTAACGTAGATCGAAACAACATGATTCGACTTACAAGACATAGACATGCACTTTAGCATTGCAGATTCAGCGCCTCAGTCACAAAAATGGGAGGCAAATTGTTAATATGAACCCAAAAATGTTTTCTGTGGTTATGCTGTCTCAGCTGTGCACTCTTGTGTGTCACTAGTGTGCCACCCTTGAGGTTTTTCCTAACCCAGACCCCGTAATCTGCTATAATGATTCCCAATCTTTCATTAAAACGTTGTTGTAATCTCGATTCCCTCCTACATCTGACTTATTTCTCGGTTTTAATTAATTATATTTCCCGGAAAGAAGTGTTTATCCAATCGAAGAACACAAACCGTATGTGCCGAGGTGGTTCAGAAATCATGAATTATTTTGAAAGTTATCTGAATTAGTATTAATATAATAACGAAAAGGAAGATTGAGAATGAGAAGAGAAATTATTGAGCCACTGCGACGCAAATCGCTATCTTACCATTGTATCGTAGGAAAACAAAAAATCGAAAGTTCCCCTTCAAATTCAACCTTGAGTATATTTTGTAGAGCTTAAAAAAGAAAAACCCATACAGTATACTCCTATCATAAGTTGTTAGATAAATTATTAGAAGATGATCAATCTGCGCATATTAAAATTACACTCTGTGTAAAGAAGCAATGCGCTTAGGAAAAAATATTCATTCTGTCAGGGAATTTCGCAAATTAAGCAAATCACCACCACGCCTCTCTAAGAAATTGTCTTTCGGAAAATATATGGATACTAATCTTTAACAGGTTGGCTATTTCTACTGCGTGAACAAGTTTCCCGAATCCCTTCTGCGATATAGCATCAAGGTCCTGCCGGGTCCGAGTCCTGCTGTACTTATCTGAGGTTATTTGAACAAACCTGTAGAATGCTATGGTAACCATTTGCCAAAGTTTAAATGTAAACCAGCGATGCCAGCCGCATATTATTGGCAACCATGGCAATACACTCAAAGGCAGTTGCTTATTCGCACGTTTGAAGAATATACAGTACATAGTGTTTAACATTTGATCATACGTGAGCCATCCCGAAGAAAATCGCCATCTTACCGCTGAATGGTCAAAAAAAAAAAGAAAAATTAGACGTTTTCGTTTTTTTTTTTTTTATTAATTAATTGTCAGGTTGATTTTCTTAAATTCATTTCGGTGTGGTCATCTCACGAATTCGCAAAGGTTGTAATATAAATAAATTTGAAAAAAGCGTCAATTTGATTTAATTAATACTATGCTCTTCTCTTTAGAAAAGTATTCATCCATTCGAAAGACCTAATATGTTTTAAATTTTATCAACGCACTTATGTGGAAGAAAGAAAGTGCCACCTGTAAAATCTATTAGCATTTTTAGTGAGAATGAGCTGCGACAGTTTATGTTTCATTAACGATAAAAATTTTTGGAGAAAATCACCAACTTACCAATGGATTGTAGAAAAGTGAGAAGTAAAATTTTTCGCTTCAAATCGCTATGTAAAAATCGAAAAAGTTACAAACAATGTTTCCACATGAATCCTTTAGAAATTCTCAACGACTGCTGAGGACGCTGCAAAAACGACCAATTTGCCTTAATTAATGTTACACTCCATGAAAAAACTTCCCGAGATAAAACGTGCATCGATTGGCTTCATTTTACTCGTGCAGCTCTCTTTGTGATGAAATTCTAGCGACCTACTAAGAGTCCTTTCATTTAGAAGTTAATTAGGAGGCGCCTAGTTTATTAACGCTCTTAAGGATGTAGTTAAGCCAAACCTCCAAGATGCCGATATAAACCCATGCAAATTTTACGGGATACGTGAAAGTAACACCAAGCAATGCACGCGGTATCAGTCGGATACCTAAACCGGACCCTTTTACGGTTACTACATTCTATTGGCACATATGGAAAACATTTAGCCTTCGACCCTTTTTATGACAAAATATCCTTTCTAGGCGTGAGGAACGCATTGTATCACATCGTAATCAGTTCGTCGAGATCTATCGGCTGGTGCTAAGGAATACCATCAATAGGGCAGAGCAAATAATGTGTTCGATAATTTTGGGTTTCCTCTCAAAAAATACATCGGATAAGAATTGTGTTGCCAAAACGTTCGCCGTATCAGCCGCCTAAACTTCTCAATTGATGCTTACTACAAATTGGCTTAAAAAAAAAAGCTGCCCGAACTCTTCGTTTCAATATTCGTTTAATATTTCGTTGCAGCTATCGGCTATAATAATAAATTGAATAGACTTAATAGCGTCGTTTATCCTGTTGGAGTTATTCTGCTCCTGTCCTCCGATTGGAGTATTATAATGGTCTGTTCGGCCCGACGGTAGAATTCTGTTATTAGCCTATTCCAGCATTTGATTCGTGTCTACTCTAGATTTAGTTGATGGTCCCGGTTAAAATGATCATTTCACGAAAATTTCAACCAAAATTTACCTTTCTTTATCCTATCCCTCTACCGGTTTTCTCATAGATATGTATAGGGGACCTTAGCAACGGTTTCTCGAATTAACAAAAGTACGCTTTTTTTAAAGGAAAAAAAATACTCGCACCCTTCAAGAAATTGAACTAAGACGATCTAAGACGAACAGGTCAGCATTTATGGATCATTCGGGCAAAAGAATCGATTAAAAACGTGAATGCGACATTTAATTTTACGCACGTTTAAAGAAACAAAAATATTTTCAACGGTTATAGAGTAGATCGCAGAACAACCTACCAATCTACCTGGATTAATATTACAAACTCTCCTCCGGAAAAAGGGATCATCATATTGACGTTGTCTCGGCCCCAGGAAAAAATTAGCCCAAGCCAGTCAACGCACGGTTGTTTCAGGTGGACAAACCAATAAACAAACGCTCCGCACGATGCATTTACCCTGCCCACAAAATAACCGCCACTTCATCAGCCTGATCTAATATGAACGGATTCGATTCACTGAACATCTACTCTAATATAGTCTATAAATGAACGCTGACAAGGTCCATTTCGAAATCAGCCTGAGGTCCTGCAGCGCCAATTGTGTTATTAGCTTGTACTAATTCTATTTGTCTGGTCCAATTACAATATTATTAATAATTATCTTCCTGTAGTTACCGTGTTTCATGTATATCGTTCTTTTCTTAAAATATGTTAATAGTTCCAATGCCACAGCGATGCTGTCAGCCTGCTGTTAGATTTGATATGGGTTAGACCCAGTCTAGCATGGGAGATTTTACCGACACATTTATAGACGCCCATCGCAGTTCTCGTGGGACCATGCTGTATGAATAAGGAGTTCCCGTTCTCGTAGCGACTCTCCGGTACAATAATGCTTAATTATTTCGCCGAGGAAATAATGCTTCTTTTCCTATTGCTCCAGTGATCTTGTTAGTCTCTTCCAAGCAATCTGTTAACGCGTTGCATGTACCTTGTATGTACATGTACCGTGTATGTGCATGTAAGATAAGTGACTAAAATACAACCGTATATATTTTACTCAATGTTCAGATGTAGAATTAGCCTTCGGTACTGCAACAGCCCTAATCTGAAATTATATTAAAAGCAGACCCCGTACTTCTAGAGTTATCCGTGCTTCTCCA